TGAGGTGGATTGATTCAGTGACTGGGATAATTGGGATGGGAGTGTCAGAGACAGTGCGATTGGCACAGGACAGAGCGGATTTAGGGCTGTTGTACATAGGGTCGCTATGAGTCGCAGGCAACTCGACGGCACATAACAACAACAACAATTCCTAGGAATTGAATTCGATTCATCTATTATCTGGCACATAGTTGTGTCTACATTATGAATTAATATATCCAGTTACTAGTCTATTTTCTATTTAATCTATTTTCTGGCAGAAACTACCATTTACTCAACACCCTGAAATATTCGGACTGCATGAAAATGTTGATATCTCCAAAGACCTTCAACAAACAAAAATCCTCTTTGAGTCTTTACTCCTCACCCAGGGAGGCGCCAGACAGACAGGAGCCTCAGGGAGTGCTGATCAGATTCTCTTAGAAATCACCAAGGATATTCTTCAAAAGGTATTGCTTTGCTTGAGATGTGTTGCTTATCATGTATCTGAATGACACTGTGGTGACAATCTGAACACATCACTGACCAGCATTATCACTGGAGCATCTTTGAATGTTACTTTCCAAACCCGCAGAGGCAATGATGTGAAATCTGAGAGGCGGGGGTGGGGGGTGGGGGTGTCAGGGACTGCATTGTTTTCCTAGGTATCAGGAGATTCCCCCCTTTGACAGGGGGAACCACCACTCTGCTATTGCTCTCTGTTTAAGTGAAAGTATTTTTGTTTCCCTTCTCTGACAGATAGCCATCTTCCTCAGGTTCTAGCATTTTATGGTAGTGCCTACTGTATAAGGTTCTTCTGCAAAATTAAAGAAGTCATGAATGTAAATTGCTTTGCATAATGCTTGGTAGATGGTAAATATTCAGTAACTGTTTGGGGTTTTTTTTTACAGTTTGTTTGTGTTTTTTTTTTGTTATTTTTGTGTGCATGTACTGTCAAATCAGATCTGACTGGTACAGGAGGAGATTGTCCCTCGTTCCCCGGCAGAACATCTGGTGGATTCGAACCATTCGCCTCTGTCAGTAACTGTTTTAAGTAGAGGCAGATACCATCAACAGCATCTTAGTTACTACAGATTTTTTTTCATAATTCATTGCATTCAGTCCTATTAAATAAATAATGATGCTCTCAGTTCTAGCCATTTTTCTACAAGCTTCAATTTAAAAACTAAAAGTACTTTATTTTTTTTCCTTGTTTTTCTTTTT